TATACATATATACTCACCTCGGCAGTCATGTACCCACAATCAAACAGAATAACAACAAGCGCCAGAAACATGCGAAATTTCTGCACACCTCTTCGCCATTCCTGTCGACATAGTGGTCATATGCCTGCACAACACTGGACAGGCCTCCATTGTCCGCCATGTTCTCACCCAGTGTCAGGTTGCCGTTCACAAATAGCTCCTTGCCATCCTTCCCGAGCACAGTGTATTCAGAGTACTGCATAAGCGAGGGGTCCAATTTGGTTTATCATGCGAGAAAGCTAGGTCTATCATGGTTGAACACTACGAAGTCTGTGTACTTTGAATACCGTAAGGTAGAGTTTAATGGGTAAAACATGAGGTGTACACCGAACCGGGTTTCCTCATCAGCTACAACGTATTTCGACTACCGAGTATACAGGAAATGTGGCGAGCGCATATCGAATAAGTTTGCTCGAACCTAACTCTCCTGGCTATGGGTACATACAGAACTAAAAAGAAGTATGAGCGTAGGGGCACGCTGTTACTTCAAACCCGGGTCGTCAAAGAGTTCGTTGATAGTGTATCGAAACGCACCCTACACAATAGAGCCCAATAGACTACGGTCAGGTGCAGATGTGATTCCTATGACGCACTGACACGCGAAGAAACACTTCACTGTTATTGAGTGCAATGCCCATGCCGCAATCTGTTTCGCTGTAATATAGGTAATCGCAGATCACTTTCACGGATATACAGAACGCACCTGATTCACGAAACACTGCGTGAGCTCGTTGAAGCTAGTCTCGGTCTCGTTCTGCCACCAATTTTCCAGATTTCCAGTGCCTATGTGAGTAACAAAAGGGGCGTAGACCTAAATAATTTCATACAAGTGATCCAAAAAGCCGGAGAGGGGCCACATGCCTATACCATACATTTAAAAAAAACATTACTATGACGTGTTTTGCGATTCGGAGTCGTCACCGAACGCATTGATACTGTCAACCGTTCAATTGTGACTTATCGGATACGCAAAACGCAGAGGATACCCATATTCAAATCATTTACTTTTCAATACACTCATCTGATGGCACCCACAGTACCGACCAGGTGCTCAGCAACGCCAAGGACTACCTGATTGTCATGCAGAGTGGGCGCATGTACAAACGGGATGACGACAACTCTATGGTGCAGCTGACAAACATCCTGTACACTGACATATATCGTATTACCCTAGGACATATAAACAAAATGAAATATAGGATTCATGCAGGGACAGACATATATACATATATATAGACACACAGACACAGACACAGACACAAAGATAAACACACTCACACATATATATAAATATACAAATATATATATAACGAACCTAGAGATTTTGCACAGTGTTTCAAATGTCCATTAACCCTCATAGAACACTCAATCCACTATCACTCACAATATACACCACTCTTGAATGGACCACGCATACAAGACATCATCCTACTAAAGAACACCCGGACTCTCATGGCAGACTAGAGTAGTTTGAAATGTGAAGTTAATATGATCAGTTACTCACCATCGTATTGGCTGCCCTCGTCATCAAAGCCATGGGATACCTGAGCATACACATTGGCAAGCAGAAGGGTAAGATATGTGATAAGGCAATTGACCATTAGGTGAGCGGTACGATACGTGTATTTATACTAAAACATTTAAACGATTGCAAGATAACGAGTTCTTAAACTT